CTGTTTATTCGTGGACAAATTATCTATAGCAATGAGGTAAAGAATTTTAATATCTGAGGAACAGATCAGCAGTAAGCTAAAGTATAGCACAATAAATGACAAGAAGACATAATTGAAGTTGTTTTTCCATTCTTGGGGGCAAGGACTAAACGTAACTATTATTGTAAAAATACAGAAACTGGTTTCAGCTCAACAACACAATATCTCAATTTCAGTCAGCAAGTTTTCACCCAAGGGCTAAGGTAGCACAAATGGTTGAGTCCAATTCCATTAGCAAAGTAGGTATAAAGCATGTCCCACTCTATCAAAAAATGGATATTTCTATGAACAATGGGGGATCTAAAACATCAAGCTACAAACTGAAACGGCAATATCAAATATTGTAAATCATAAACTGGACATGATAGAAGGTAATGGCAGCACACTACCAGAGCACCATTTTGCCTAAGTTACACTCCTAACAGCTGGCCATCAGGGATGGCCGATAGGACCAGCTCTCGAGGTGAAATCAACTTCTCCTGATGGTCGGTCTACAGGAAGCAATTCCTGCCGGTTCGTGTTGACCAGTCAAAATCAGATCCTGTCAGTACGGCCATCAGGAATTCCACCCGGACAGGATACTTTGCGTTATTCCGGACATTTGAGGCCGACCAAAAGGACAATCAGACTGTCATCAGGTCATAATTTGTACAAGGACTGTCTCATAATACCACCAATATCATCCATATTTGTGTGCAATTTGTACATCAACTCACAAGTCACATTAGAAATTAAATTTAATAACACAAATGAAATTCACATGTCAACCAAATCCAATGGCCCTTACTACTCAGTACAGATTCATTGTTCCCCACACTAGGAATAACAACAAGACAGTTCCTATACTGAGTTAAGAATACAAGTTCACAACACTGCATGTTCAGCTCCTAGCTATTTGGCAGCTTGACAAAAGGAGTCTGTCTACTTCATACTCCTACTAATTACACAAAAGAAGCTCCTAGGAATAACAACATGACAGCTCCTATATTAAGTTAAGAAATCAAGTACACAACACTGCATGTTCAGCTCCTAGCTAGGTGGAAATTCGTTGTATATGTCCTCTATGGAGGAAGGCTTGTCTCTAGCTAGGTGGCCTACGAAGGGTCCTATGCGAAGGCCCTTGATGGCAGCCTCGATTGCTACTTCTTTGGGAACATTGGGTGCCCATGCTCTAAGGTGTAAGAACCTTTGGTAGTATGTTTTGAGGGACTCGCCCTGTTGTTGTATGCGTTGGAAAAGATCAGAGGCTATCAAGGATTCACTTGAAAATCCTTTGAAGTTCACCATTATCTTGTCTTGTAGGTCTTCCCAGGAGTATACTGACTTGGGTCTAAGCATGGAATACCTAGCTAGGGCATCCCCCTCTGCTGCAATGATGAAGGACATGGCAAGCACTGTGTCATTTCCTCCTACTAAGGCCACGGCAGCCTCAAAACTCATTATGAACTATCAGGGGTCTGTCTGCCCTTTGAATTTTGGTAGGGATATGGGTTTGTAGGTAGGTGGCCAGGACGAGGTTTGAAGTCCTTAGGATAATGGGGATTTGTTGTCTATGGGTTTTGGGGATGGTATGAGACTGATTGGTGTGCCGAAGGTTCGCTGAAGCTGTGGACTTGGTAGGAGGTTGTGTTGGCTTTGTAGGTCTGGTAAGGGATGGTTGGAGTTGTTTGATGGTGGAGGTTTGGCAGTAGGCTTTGGATTTCTGCTTGTAGGACAGCCAACACTGCTGCCTTGCTTTTGTTGCTTGCTGAGACATGAGGGCTGCTCTTTGATTTTCGGCAAGGCTGCTGCTAGCTATGTCTATTTCCTGCTGAGCCTGCTGGAGCTGGGCTTGTAACTACTGAAGCAGTTGTTCTAGCATTGGGTTTTGGACTGGCTGCCCTCCATCACCTGCTGGTTGTTTTGCTGCGGGTACCTCTTCTTCTTCGACCTCCGCATTTTCTTGAGGTTCTGGGTTGGTGTAGGTATTGCGCCTTGGCCTTCCCCTAAGAGGGGGCTTCCACTTGGCTCTAGGCGGAGGTCTTTCTCTTTGCTGCCATCATGGGTTTGTGCTTGGCCCCACGGTGGGCGCCAATGTTGGGATAGAGGGGTCCTGACAAGACTAGATGGGGGGAGCGCGCGCCTGCTAGCCAACCGATCGCTGAAGGTCTCCCTCGAGAACGAAGGCCTTTGGTTACTAAAAGCACAATTATCAAGACAACGCTTAGGGTTTCAAACCACAGTACATTTATCTCTCCTTTTTGGGAGTTGACCTCCCCCTTTTTATAGGGTACAGTTACAAATAATCGCACGTACAATAATACCCCTGCGACGGCTAAGGCATATTCTGCCCTTTGGTAAGCCATCTCCCAGGACCCTAGCGTCTTTTACATTTTCAGCCACCATTACTGATGGGCCTTTGTCGAGCCGACTCCCGGCCTAGCGAGTTCCTTAGCCATCGGGGCTACTGTGCCCTCGCTTGTTGTTGCCCTATGCGCCATGGGGCTATGTCCGTTCAGGCCGCCCTACCTGCAGAGCGAGGGGCTAGGTTGACTATTCCGTTGTGACGCTTGAGGCCTTCGACCATCACGCCAGGACGATGTTGGGTGTTTCATTGAGACGCCCACGGCCTTCACTCGAAGGCTCTTTACCCCCTATCGGTCCTTCGCTCAAAGGGTCTTTACCCCTGATCGGTCCTTTGTCCGCGATTCTGGCCAAGACACGCAAAAAACTTATCAGTGTGTTAGCAAATCCTTCTATCGCAAGGAGCTGTCCTGACAGTTCCCCTTCGAGGCCGAGGTTTGACGTAGATGAGCTTGGCCCCCGAGGCGCCCGTGGCCTTAGCTCAAAGGCTCTTTACCCCCGACCAATCCTTCACCGGCGATTTTGGCCCACGCAGAAAACTTATCAGTGTGTTAGTGAATCCTTCGATTGCAAAGCGCCATCCTGACAAGCATCACTACACTCCAACCCATGGAGCAAAACAAACAACAAGCACTATGTTCAGCTAACAACAGCATAGCTTCTTGACATTTATGTATCTTTAAATATACAAAAGCAATGATAGTAAACAAACATATATTCAGAAACTACAAAACAAGGCCTACAACTTTCATGAAGACGCACTATTTTTATTCTGAACTTAAGATGCCTAAACTTCAGTTGAATTCAGACAATGAAATCTGCCTTGAATTCTGATAGTCAAGGGTAAAATATTGATACCTACTAAAACACTTATCCAACAATTATGAAACTTTTGTTCCATAGACACTTTCATTAAAAGTCATATAGATGTCCTAATCAAGGTAGTAATGTTGAACACAGAATCTGACAGCCGAAACTAACAACTCACTTCAAAAGCATATATCTGAAGTTGTGTTTCAGATATAACAATGCATTATACACCGTTGGAAACATACTGAAAAAGTCTACAACTTTGGTGTTCATTCAAAAAACTAGTTTGACCATTAACATTGTCAAAAACTGAATCAATCCACTATTGTTCAGATCATCCTTGAAATAGCAACAGCCACACTAAAAAACATAACTCCTAAACTACAGAGCCTAAAATCATGAAATTTCATAAGCAGAAGGATGAAGGATATATCTATAACTTTGGTATTCAAGTGTTTCACCGATTCGGCCTCTAACAAAGCCAAAATCCACAACCTATCTGTACTGCTGAGTCCGAAAATCCGGATTTTTATGCAATGATTGATCTGGTTTAAAGGCGACTTAGATATTCGATTATCCAAATTTAAACTTTCTAAAAACCTTGGATCAGGAGGGGAAAAGTGTGGGAATACTCAACTAGGGTTTCCTCTGGACCAACAGCTAGGAAAAACAGAGGGGGAAAGTCGATCTATCACCCCTTGTTAATCATCTCTCCACATGCCCCTTCCGTTTTGCATCATCCTTTCTTGATTCTTCAAGCAACTGAGAGGGGCCATGAAGGAGAGTCTGGAAGAGAGGAAGCTTACAGGGCAAAGAGGGATGGCCAAGGCAGGCTGAACCATGAGGGAAGGGGGGAAATGGGAGGAAGAAGAAGAGTCATGATTGATTGCAATTCCATATCTATTCATCTCATCCGTTCTTTCTTTGATCCTATGAATCACCATGATCCAAACTCCAAATACAACATATTAGTCAAACGTAATGCACTCAATGAGATCTACGCATCTATGGTTTTCGATCGTCCATCCTAGCAATGGAGTAGAAACTATTTTTGCCACTCATTAGAACTCCAAGTTATTTAACCCTTTGCGCTTTCCAAAAAGCAAAACGTATTTGCTACAAATTCATTCCATTAAAACACTTGAAAAATCAAATTAAAAATATGAAACCACATATTTTATAGAAACACAAAAGTCTATGGTCAAATTTCTTGGGTATTACATATATATAACCTCCATAATGGAAATCATGATAACTACTTATATTTGTGAATTTCTTTGGAAACCTTACCTCTGATGAAGCGATCAAACTGTTACAAAAAAATATAACAAACCTTATCTCTGATGAAGAAATCAAACTTATTATTGTACTGTCCATTTAGATATAGTTGATATTCAGAATAAAGAGCAAGAGGACATCCAAAATATAGTTAGCACATACAAACAAACACATAGATATGGCAAGAACACATAATAGTATTTCATTGCAATGTTCTAGTAGTGAAATTGTTTGTAGCCCATATAGAAATAGTACTAGCACTTAACACCATATATTGTCTTCAACCAGCTAGTTTTACTTGCACCTGTTGATACTAAATCATAAATAACTAGCAAACATATAGTCCATTTTCATCCACTGATTATGAAGGAAGCCTCCCCTATTGATGGCCAATACAAGTTGTCTGGTGGGTCCTAGACCTCTCCATCACTAAAACTACTGGTGGGTCCTAGACCTCTCCATCACTAAAACTACAAAAGAACTGGTTGTTGCCAACTAACGCCTTATCTAGGTAACTACTTGGTTGTTGCTCACCATGGTTGCCCCCTTGTGATGTTGTTCAAGGCAACTTGTTGTCCATCAAAGTCATAGTAGTTTGTGTTGTAAGCACTGCCAGTGAAGGAAAGCACCTCCCAGCTCGGAGAAGTATTCTGAATTGTCGTTGGAGCTACAGAAGAACTAGTTGTTGTCTGTTGACCTCTAGTCCAAGTGGCTACTTGGTTGTTGCTCGCCAGGTCAGCACATGTGAGGTTGTTCATGGCATTGTGTTGTCCATCAAAGTCATAGTAATTTGTGTCGTCAACACCTCTAGTGAAGGCGAGCGCCTCCCATCCAAGAGAGTTACTCTGCACCATCGTTGGATCTATGGATGAACTAGCTATTATGTGCTGACCTCTAGTCCAGGTGGCCGCATGTCTACTGCTCGCTTGGCTAGCATGTGCGAGTTTGTTCAAGACAACTTGTTGTCCCTCAACGTCATAATAATGTGTGTTGTAAGCACTACGGCCAAAGGCGAGAGACTTTGAACTAGAAGAGTTCTTCTGCACCCATGGCTCTGTGTTATAGAGGCCGACATCATTGATGTTGAAGTGTTGTTTCCTAGTGGTGCACTCCTTCCTATGGAAATACTTCTGCGCATGGCTACAGATCTGGATCGGCGTCCTTGTGGGGACGAAGTACCTAGATATGTTCTTCCAGTTACCACGGCCATACACTTCTAGTCCATGCAGGAAATTCCTGAGATATATATATATATGGTTTAGAATTAGTAAGTCAGATGATAACATGTCTTGTTCATACACTCAATATTGGTGAAATCAAAATCTCAATGCCTCCTGGTATATGAAATAATATACACCACTAGCTTATTACTTGTACAAAAAATTAACATTAAATATGTAATGAACATTTCAAAAACACAGCAGAAATGAATTACTTGTGCTCTTCGTGAGTCCAAGCAACTGGGTGTTGCCTCTTTTTCTTAGGAATAGTATTCAGCTTGTGCGGTGGTTCCTGTACCATCTTCATGGCCTCCACATCATCCAGTATATAACCATGAAACATGTCCATGTTTGTATCCTCCATTGGCACTCCAAAGTTATCATTCACAAGAGCATTGCTCATCACAACTTGTGGGTTGTTGCTCTGCATTGTATTCATCTCAACTACTAGATGAACATACAATTGAATTACTGATTCCTCTCTTTGCATGGGAACCTTGCTTGGAGCTCATCAACAATGTCATTGTGCATCTTGTTTGTGTCATTTGTGTAGGTGTTGTTGGTGTTGTGACTAGCTATGAATGACTTCACCATATCTATTTCAAAAGCGCTCCACACACCATTGAAGTTGGGATCCATGGGTATTGAGGGTTGAGTACTACACAAGTTAATGTATGAAACACGATGCTTGAATGGAGAAAATGGCAAGCACAAGGCCAAGTATTTATAGGCCTTTTGGTGAATCTTTTAGTATTGGTTTCAATTTATTGTACAATAAAGTTTTATATATAGTCAAACAAGATTTTTTAATCATAATACTAAAGATATTTAGCATCTATAATCATTTCTCAGTGATACACTAATTTTGTAGTTGGCATACTTCAATTGCCTAGATCAATGACCAAGGACACATGACACGTAAAACTAACTCATAGTAACATAATGACTAGTTTCACTAAAGAAATCTGATTTGACAATAAAAGGTCTTTCGACGCAAATCAATATTGGGTCTGCCATTTAGGCTGGTTGGTTAGCTACTTATTTTTTGAAAAACCAAATTGATCTCGAGGCAGTAACTCTTGTTCATAAGCAGGCAATGTTGGAGCATCACACATTTTTCTCTCATGTTTGATAAAACGAATGCAACACCTAGGATGTGCATAGGCCATACCACTGTTCTCGAGCACACAGGTTGGAAGGACACTAATGTCTCAATTTGCTACTATCAGTTGACTCCATCTTTAGTGGTTATAAAGCGTTGTGTCTGCAATTTTTAATCACGTTACTTTATGTCTAACCAAATACCTTATTAATGTGTTTCTAATAAATGAATGTGAATTGATCAAATCATATATGCATATCTTTCCTTGTGATTGATATTTTATTAGTTTTGCTTCTATTTGATGTCCAAATATACTAGAAGCCTGAGACTGAAAGTCAACTTTTGACTTTAGGTACAAGCCTCTTTCTCTCTCCCTCCCCCTCTATATCTATATCTATATCTATATCTATCAGACAATGTTTGCGCATTACACATTTTTCTCTCATGTTTAATAAAACAAATGTAACACCTAGGATGTGCATAGGCCATACCACTATTCTCGGGCACACAGGTTTAAAGGACACTAATGTCCCAATTTGCTACTATTAGTTGACTCCATCTTTAGTGGATATAAAGCGTTGTGTCTACAGTTTTTAATCACATTACTTTATGTCCAACCAAATGCCTTATTAATGTGTTTCTAATAAATAAATGAATGTGAATTGATCAAATCATATATGCATATATTTCCTTGTGATTGACATTTATTAGTTTTGTTTCTATCTGATGTCCAAATATACTAGAAGCTTGAGACTAGAAGTCAACTTTTGACTTTAGGTACAAGCCTCTTTCTCTCTCCATCTCCCTCTTTCTCCATCTAGATATCTATATCTATATCTGTATCTATATCTATATCTACATCCATATTATATCTATATCTATATCTATATCTACATGGATTGAGTTTTTTCTCATTTCTATGACATTCTATCCTTCTAGGTGATTACAGAGTGTACAAACTAGGTCCATTTAACTCCATGATATTTTACATGTATGCATACAAGTCCATCTAGTGCATTGTACCACATAAATGATGTTAATGTGAAAACTAAGTTAGAAAAAAAAGGTTTCCATGAATGTATGTTTTATCCTACACTCATCATGAGAGACACCCACATTGTTCCATACATCTTGTATTCAAATGGCTATAGGTTGACACGTTTGAGGAAGAAACTAAATTAATCTATAGTGTGTTCAATATTTGCATATTATTGCTTATATTTTGCCTAGCAGATAAAATGCTTTTGAACTGAATAATTACATTCATCTGTTCTTGGAGTATATTCTTTATACAATTATTTTAAAGAGAGTGCGATCCTTAAATGTTTGTTGATGGTCATGAGAACTCCTTATTTCATACCATCAAGTATGCCTAAATGGGAATATAAATGACATCCACCATAGTCATAGGGATTAATTCTAATCAATTCCACAAGTTTTGGTGACTATGTGAATGTTGAAACAAGGGGGACATGGGACATGATAAAACACATGACCAAATTCCCAATTTGACAACACCATGTCAAAAAGAGCTCGTGGAGATACATGAAATCAAGTTTTGTATCACCAATTTTGAGTCCTGATGAGAAAGTTACGCCTTTCGAAAGATCGCAACACGAGTTAGGCTAGAAATGGGCACTGAGAGGGTCAAGCGACCCAACTATGGGTAGAGTGACCCAGAGCTAAGCCCAATGGCCCTCAAACTTGGTCCAGAGCCTCTCTACTCAACAAGAAGCCCAAGGGAAGCAGTGTAGACCCCAGAAGCCAAAATTGAACTTTGGGCAACCCAGACCAAGGTCGGTGTTGAGATCCTAACATATGGGTATGCTAAGCCTTGGGTCTAATGGTTCCCGATCGAAGAAGACCACCCGACCGATCCCTCTAGGATCGCCCGGGGGCTCGGGGCTATGTCCATCTGGCACGCTCGCGTGCACCCTCCGGCAAAGGGACCCGGCCGAGCCTGACTCGATCGCAGTTTCTGTCCAGGGCTCGGGGGCTCCCCCGAGCCTTGGGCTCCCGATCTACGGCTACCGATTCCAACCAAGGCCCAGGCACAAGAAGACAAGGCCTTAGGCTACCGATGCTCGGGGGCTCCCCGGCATCGCACCCTAGGCACAATATTGCCAACTGCTCCTCCGATAGGGTCACGTCCGAGGCATGACATAAGAAGACAAAGCTTCCCACGGCCTCTAGGGACTCAAGGGCTTCCGAGCCTACGCGTCAGCCCCTGGAGCCGACCTCCTTCGCCACCAAGAAGACTCCAGAAGGTCTCACTCGGGGGAGGCTAGTCCAAGCAGACAAAGCCTGACACACAGAGTGTCAGAACAGAGCCGCCGAACGACGTCCAGGCTTCTTTGGCTCCAAGACACCTCGACGGTCCACGCCGCACTGCTACAAGACCCTCCTGGACTCCGGCGCATGTAGACCATAGACTAGAACCCTCAAACCACCTTGTACCCGACCTATCTCGTTATATAAGAGATAAGGTCGGACCTAGAGGGGAGAGGATCGAGATCGATCACTAGACTCTGTTTCCATTCGCCTCCGCTGCTCTGCACCGAGATCAAGGCAACCCACCGAGGGGCACTAGAGGGCTCCTCCGCCATCCCGTCGTCTCCTTCCTCTCCGATGAGGGGGAGACTCCACCGGCGGTGAGGCAATCCATAGGATTAGCACCGAGCTAACCCCCTACCAAACCTCTTCTTCCTTTACACTCTGTTGTAACCCCCTAGATTTTGGGTGCTCTTGAGTAAAAGGATCATCAGTTGTTGGACGTAGGGACCGACTTGGTCCGAACCAGGATAAACCATTGCGTCTTCTCTGTGTGATTCTTGTGTTCTTGAGTCCACCCGAGCCACCAGAGACCTCGTACTCTGACACCAACTCAAACAACATGCTTGCTGCGGTTTCAACCCTGCGATAGTCGGGCGAACCAACCATGGGCCCAACCAAAGTCTGCTTCATCCACATGCAGAAGAAACACACTTAGGAGTCATTTCGCTTGTCGGTTGAATGATGGTTCACATCAAGGAATAGAATGAAGCTAAGTGGATATCACATGGATCCATGGGCCCATCCAACTGAACCAAATGAAGTCTAATTCGACTGATACTTCACCCACATTCATTAGGACCATAGATCAAGGCACTAACAAAAAATGGATGGTGGGTATGTGGAGGTGCTCGGTTTGTTGACCTAGCATTTTCACAAAACCTCCTCGGTGATGGACCAAGATCCTAACGGTTCCCCATAGGGTCGACTACCAGGCAAGGAGATGGATCGGCCCACGGTCTACCAAGAAGGCACGAAACAAGGTGGCGTGTCTCCCAAGGCATGAACGACCGACCTAGTTGGATTATAGGATTAGAATGACCGACCTAGTCGGCCCACGGTCTATCTCTGTAATAGGATTAGAACTCTTCTGTTGTAACCGACTAGGACTAGATTATGCATCTGCCTCTAGACTATATAAAGAGAGGCATGAACGCCCCCTTGTAACATCATCATACATAGCAATCCAATGCAAGGCAACATGCTGGACTAGATATAGGGTATTGCGCTATTTAGCAGCCTGAACCAGTATAAATCATTATCTCGCATTCACAGTCGAGTTTAGCTTATGTCGTAACCCCGTAACAAGGTTACTCACTACTACAGATTGACCTATTACCAACGCCATTATCACCGCCAGTATCATTAAAAACGATTGTGATAGCTATCACCAATGGTTCGTAATATGAACCGTTGGTGATGAGAGTATCACCGCCGGTTCGTAAGAACGTCCGGGTCGATAACTATCACCACCACTTCCCCCTTACTTTACCGAACGGTGATAGTCCATCATCACCAACGCCATTATCACCGACAGTATCATTAAAACGATTGTGATAGCCACCAATGGTTTGTAATATGAACCGCGGTGATGATGTGCTCCTCTATCACCACCGGCTCCTTACCAACCGCCGGTGATAGTCCATATCAAACCAGTTTGCCCCACCAGCGGTGAAGATATTTCATCACCGCCAAATTTATTTGTATGATACATCGGTGGTAAACATGTTGCAGTATAAATAAATTTATAACTTTTTCAAAGAAAGTCAGGTGAAAACAAACTTTACATCAAAGTTGTTGATCTCGACGTAATCGACAACTTTGTAGTTGATGACTTTTTCATTTAAAACCATTTACGGTTCAGAATTATGTTTAAAGCGCTCAAATTTTGAAACTCAATTTTTTTGAATTGTACAAACGACCCTAGATGGATAAAACGACCAAAACCAAAGTTGTAGATCTCGATGAGATATACAATTTTGTAGTTGACAACTATTTCATTATAAATCATTTATAGTTTCAAATTTGTATCTAAAGTTTTAAAATTTTAAAAACCT